GTCTTAGCCACTATGCTACCAGAGATCCAGAAAGAGGAAGGATCAAAAGTGTGGAGATTGAGAGGATACTGGTAAGGAGGACTCCTCTGGAGAGAACTCTTCATGAGCCAGGATCCCCACTCCTCGATCCACCAAAAGGTGTGGGGTACCTCACCTCAAGCCTTATGAAAGAGGCCTCCAAGAGACAACTTGAAGGACTTGATACATGACGCCTAGAGTGTGAGGGACATAACGGACTGAGGTTTGACAGGTTTGACTCCGTAAGGAAAACCTACCTGCTGAGAGATGAGGCAAAAGAGAGGTAGCTGCTTCTGGGTTGGTCTATAACTTGAAAAATGTGTAAGAGCAAAGGACACATTGCTGATAGAAATGTAAAATACAGCCACTTAGGAAAAGTCTGACAGTTCCTCAGAAGGTTAAACATGAGTTTATATGATTTCATTTATATAAAATATCCAGAATAGATAAATCTATCAAGATAGAAAGTTGCTTATGACTGGAAGCAGGGTGGAGAAGAAGAAGAATAGAGAATGACAGCTAATGAATATGGGATTTCTTTTAGGGGAGACAAAAATATTCAAAAATTAAATTGTGATGATGGTTGCAATAACCCTGTAAATATACTTTGAAAACACTAAACTGTATAATTTAAATAAGTGAATTGTATGATATGTAAATTATAACTCAATAAATATAAAAAAGAAAAAAGAGGGAGGGGGGAAAAAAAAAACTGGAAATGTTCTCAAATGCCTCTCTAAAATTAAATACCTGCTGTACCCTCGTTACCCAGCGAGTTGCTGGATTAATTCACCCATCCCAGATGTTTTCCTTATTTCCTGCCTTTGAGCTGTACTCTGTAATTTAGTATTAGCAGAAGGTTAATAAAGACAACACATCCTTAGTTGCTAAATTTTACACAGTGTTTACCATTTCTTCAACATACACATTTCCTCTGTTTTCCAACTGCAGCTGAGCTGCCAAAACCTTGTAGAGAGAATAATTACCCTTCTACACCCCTTCCTGGTTTCAGGACAGTCCCACTCTTCCTTGGTACATAATCAAGTGTCTGCAACAAACCAATGGTTTGTTTGCCTCTCCGGGAGGCTTTAAATCCACCAAGCTGTTCACTGAACTATGACAGGTCTTTGTTCTTCCCTTCTTTGGACAATAACAGGAGATTCCCTCTCTTTCTGTTTGTTAGAAGCTAATTCACTTGCCAGGAAGAAGCTCTCTCTCTGCTTTGCTCTCTTTTCCTTCCAAAAGCAGTTAGTTCATTGAATTACAAAGGATACCCGGAGAGATTTACACCGAAGTTTAGTCACAATACTCCTAACCCTGACAGCATTTTCATGTGTTCCTGACCCAACCATTTAACAGTCTTTCATCACAATATTCCCTCTGAGATGTGAATGAAGATGATCTTTCTGAAAGTTAGTGTGACTTTGTTCTTTAATTCAGAGAACTTGCTTTCAAGCTCTACGCAATTTTTTCTTTCGATAATCTGCAAAGTCCTTGCCTGTAAATATTCAGAAGAAGATACAACTGTTTTTTCAAAAGTCTCTAAATAAGAAATACAAAAATAAAAACAGCCTTATATATTGCTACTAATCACTAAGTCACCAAACCAAAAACCAAACACACTGCTCTAGAGTCAGATCCGAATCATAGCGACCCCTCCTTGGGTTTCTGAGACAGTATCTCTACAGAAGTAGATTGCCCAACCTTCCTTCCGAGGAGTGGCTGGTGGGTTTGAACCGCCAGCCTTCTGGTTAGTAGTCAAATGCCTTAGGCACTACACCAAGAGAGCTCCTCTTGTGAGTCTGAGAGCTCTAGTAGCCTCCAGGAAAATCTTTAACCAGAAACCTTTTAGTGTCAGCATTACTAACAGAACTTTTGGACTCTTTAGGGCCTTTATCTGCCCTCCAGTCTCAGCAGGTATCAAGGAACTTCCTCTGAACTCAGCACGCGTCACAAAAGCCATCCGGATTCAGCACGTATCAGAGATTTGCTCGACTCCTAAAAGTCTCCCACATACGAGCCTTGCATCCTCCCTAGATAATATTTTCCTAAATGAACTTTGGAGCCAGGGGGTTTCTTTACGTCCCCCAACATCTTAGATCACTGCCCTAAATCCCTTAGCAACAACCAATCATCTGTACCCTCTCGCCCTGGTGCCGCCCCTCCCCATATTGTTCCATAAAACTGTGAGAATACCAGGGCACGGGGTCTTTTGCTTAAGCCACTGACCTGGTAAGAGCAAAGACCCTAACTTAAGTTAGCTAATAAACTTTCCTATTGCATTTGCATTGTCGTGTGTTGGCATATTCCTCTCCGAGCATCTCCTTCATAACCTGGGCACAACACTCTAAGTCACCAACTGATGTTTATCTATGACCAATTTAATTCTGTATTGGTGTGCCAGGTCAGTCCTATAACAGGAAGACTCTCTTTTTTAAAAATAGTGAAATTACATAAAAGGGTAGTAAACATCTCATTTCAGCAACAGAAGTAAGTGTTGTAAAGAATAAGTTTTGAAATTTCTAGCATTTTATATCTATGTATTTATCAGTATCGTGCACTGAGCTCAAAACAAAACAAAAGCATCAGTCTTCTTATCTGAAAGAACATGACTTAAGATTTACTCTATATCCTCAGAAACAGTTGATGGGAATGTAAAATGGCCTTTTGAGTCTGGCTTCTTACTCGCATAATGTTTTCAAGGTTTATCCATGTTGTAACATGTATCTATACTTCATTCTTTTTTACAGCTGGACAATATTTCATTGTATGGGTATATCACATTTGTTTATCCATCCATCAGTTAACGGACATTTGAGGTGTTTCCACAATTTGGACATTATGAATAATGCTGCTATGAACACTTGTGTACAAGATTTTGTGTGGACTTATTATTTCATTTCTCTTGGGTACTCCAATTCTCTAGGAATGGAATTGCTGGGTCATAATAACTCTTAACTTTTTAAGGAATTGCCAAATTTTTTGCCAAAGTAGAAATATAATTTTACATGGAATATAATTTTGAAAGGTGCTTTAATTAGTGTAAATATTTTTAATAATAAAATAATATTATAAAATTTTTTAAGTAAATTTTGCAGAACAAAATTTGCCCCGACTCCATCTGGTCCTAACACAATGAACTTCAATTTTATCAAAAAATATATACTTCATAAATATTTATAATATTATGATCATAGAGAACCTACAATTGATATTCTTTTTTTTTTTTTCATTTTCAGTACACATTTAAGTAGTGAGTTGTTGGGTTCATTTATTCAGACTGACATCTTTATGATGGTGATTACTATCAAAAGTTATAAAGTATAGTGAATATTATCATACACTTTGAGGAATTTTACAGTATTGAAAAGTCCCTCTGCAGATTCGTTCAAAAGACATGCTTTCATCAGTGGCATGTGCCTAGCAGAGAACATTGACTGTTTTCACATTTAGAGTAAATGATGAAATTAAAACGTTTCCAAAATGCATCCATTTTTTTCATTTAAAAATGTCAGCTTATAGTTTCCAGTTTATAAGGTAAAATGATTTTGACAAAAAAAAAAAAGAAGGTGGGGACCAGGTTTGCTGGTCCAATAGAGCCTGGTGGAACCACTGAGACTATGGCCCCTAGCTGCCCTTCAGGTCTG